ACCTAGGGAAGGAGGACTGTGTAACAATATGACAGACTCTGATCAACATTCCCAGCACAAGGATGAAGGGGGGTGAGAAGACCAGTGTAGAGTGTGGATGATTCTCATGAATGCCGCTCAAAAGAGTACACAACACTACATCGAAATATGCACGGTAAAAATTGTAACAGTGAAGGCGTGCTACGAGGAAAGAGGAAATGTGAATAGTCCAGAGCAGAAGAAGAGATACCACAACTGTTTAGCACACTTTTGGTCAAAGAATCGACTTCAATTGTCTATTTGACGATTTGTAGTATGGTGCTACGAATGGCCAAACTCAATGACGATGCCGACTGTGATGCCTGCGAAACGTCTGGGAATGTACCAAGTCCACGGTCCGACTTTGAAAAGGATCATGCATACAATAGACTCCGGACTATTTGCGTTCCTCTAATTTTACCTACCAATATGACCAAGTTGTGAAAAGAAGGTCAAACAACTTCTAAACTATGTAGATGTCCATTTTAAAAGTTGGTTTCGAGACAAGCATTAGATCATATACATAAGATGTACTCAACCAATTTCGTTAAATTGATAAAAAACAAGTAGTTGATTTTGCTCTAAGGATATGAGTAGGCATTAAGCTTCCATTGGATTTCACATATCATTGCTTCCCAAAAACTATTCTCATCCAGACAAGAGTGGTTTGAAGTTTTGATCTTGCCTAGGTCTCTTCAGCATCCCCAGCGGACTAGTAGTGCATCGTATATTCCCGGAACGTTAACCACTTCACCAAACTGCCACGAGTACCTTTGGTCACGGGGCGAGTTTCAAAGAAGGTCAGGCTTTTTCCACATCACTTTCTGTATGGAACTTGTGGAAGTGTGTCACAGTAATAGCCATGTCTATACTATATGCTGCAGTACCCGGGTTCGAGGCCGGGACGAATAAGTAACTTCCTCGACTTTAATGGCAAATATGAACTGGTATTATGTACAATTCCCATATAAATGGGACTTGGGAAAGATCAAACTTGTTCTGAAAGTCACATCAGGCTTTCTATGCCCTAAGCAACCTATGATAAGTTCTTCTTCTAGAAGTATTTGCAATTTCTTAACATGTACGCATATGATACTCCAGCAAAAGATTTTGCCCATTTCAGTCCTTGGCCTGTGGTCGCAGAAGGGAAGTCAATTGGTGACCTCAGGTGAAGTATTCCAAATAATCAGAAGATTAGTGTTCTACTGACGGCCTCCTGAACCTTTCGGCAGCCAGTAGGCCATTTTTACTATTTCAACTGGACGTTATAGTATCGACACGACCAGGCCTTCCTTCGTGGAGGGGTGAACGTGATAATTGAATAAATAAACCTAATTAGAATATGATAACAATAAAGTTGCAAGCATAATCTGCTCAGGAGCGGCGGACTTTGAAATAATGACCTACCAAAAAGTTCCAGAGGTTAAGAAAATAAGCGTAATCCTTTGATTTGCCATTCACTCTGACAAAAATTTAGACGGATTAACCATACCAACTTCTTCAAGAAAAAACTGTGCTTTTTCTGTAATAATTCGATTTAGATACGTGTTATCATGAAAGCGGAAAATTTTAAGTGATAACGAGTCGACATCAGGAAATTTTTTGGCTAGTTCCAACAGAGAT